AAGGCTGACCACAGCACTTTTTGGGTAAACTATAAAGCAGTTATTTAAACCTAAACTGAGTTAAACTGGCTTCCTTTTGGGGATAGATAAACATCATTTCCCTTGTCTTCTTGGATAGTTATATACTAGAAAATTCTCTAGATACCCTTAACATTAATATTATGTAACATACAAGATATGAGCCTAATGTTATTAATAAATATTCATACTGAACTTCACATTTGTGAATAATTTATTCCTAATAACTGTGTAAATGAAGATCTAGGTGGATGGTACGGAAAACAAAACAAGAAAAGCAAGAATTTTGATACTTCCAGCTCACTGACTATATTAGATTGGTTTCTCAGAAGCATAATGCACATGAAAAGTCAATATTTACATACTAAATAACAAACACTGTATTCTGGTTTCACCATCTATATTGAAAATATTATGTCCTTGGAAATGCAAGCGGTCTTGACTAATTACAACAATCTTCAAAAATAAGAACAACAAAGTTAAAGGGTTCAAACTTCCAGATTTCAAAACCAAAAAAACCCTATAGTAATCAAGACAGTGTGGCATTGGACAAAAATAGATGCATAGACGGATCAAATAGAATTGAGAGTCCAGAAATAAATCCTAACATTTACGGTCCACTGATTTTTATGACAAATGGTGCGGGGATATTGGATTTCCACACACAAAAGAGTGTGGGATGAATTTGTATTCTTACTTCACACAATATACAAAAAGTAACTTAAAATAGATTATAGGTGCCGGGTTCGGTTGCTCAGCGTGTAATCCCAGCACTTTGGGGGGCCAAAGCGAGTAGATTGCCTGAACCAGTGGGTTCGAGACCAGCCCAGGCAACTTGGCAAGACTTCGTCTCTACAATAAATAAATTTTAAAAATTAGCCGGGTGTGGTTGCGTGTGCCTGTAGTTCTGGCTACTTGGAAGGCTGAGGCGGATGGATTGTTCAGGTCCTGCAGGTAGACGCTGGAGTGGCTGTGAGCGTGCCTCTGCACTCCAGCCTGGGCAACAGAGTGAGACTCCACCCCTCCCCCAATAGATCATAGGCATAAGTATAAGAGCAAAAGCTATAACACTTAGGAGTCTTTATGACCTTATATTAGGCAATGATTTCTTAGATACAGCAATAAAATTACAAATTGTAAGAGAACATTGGATAGTTAGACATCAAAATTCACAACATTAGTACTCCAAAGAACACTTAAGAAAGTGAAAAGACAACCCAAATTATAGAAGAATAATATTTGCAAATCATATATTTGAATATGTAAAAAACTTTTACAGTTCAACAATAAAAATAAAATAACCCAATTAAAAATGAGTAAATGGGTTTTGCCAAGTTGCCCAGGTCTCAAACCCCTGTACTCAGACAATCTTCCCACCTCTGCCTCCCAAAGTGCTGGGATTACAGGCTAGAGTCATGGCGCCAGCTGAATTTTCATACACAGTAAATACCATCAAAGGAAACCCAAATCAACGATTAATACTAAAAAGAAGACTGGGTGCAGTGGTTCATGCCTGTAATACCAGCACTTTGGGAGGCCAAGACAGGAGGATTACTTGAGCCGAGGAATTTGAGACCAGACAATTTAGTGAGAACTTATCTCTGCTCCTGTAGTCTCAGCTACTCAGGAAACTGAGGTTGAGGTAGAAGGATTGCCTGGACCCAGGAGGCGAGGGCTGTGATGAGCTATAATCATGCCACTGCCCTCCAGCCTGAGCAACAAATATCATGACTCAGTAAAAACAAACAAACAAAATCACTAAAAAGAAACTGAGACCCTCTGTATAAGGTTCACCTATTATTGGTAGAGGAGTTAATTTTTAATACCAGTTGATCTCTTTTCCCTCAGCACACTCTAATTTGCTATGGACTGCTTTCCAAAATGACCATATCTCTATTACCCCCTCTATTAAAAATAAGAAAAGATTGCAAAATAATTTCTTCAGCTTGCTCTAAATATATCAGGATGAAATGAAGTTACAGATCAGGGCTATTTACTGTATGACACTACTTACTAGAGTCACAAGTCTTGGCTGTAAATTCAATAATGTGAGTCTCTAGTATTTTTTATATGTTTTATGGCAATTTGTCTAGACTTGTCTATAAAGCCTTTTTCAATTTGTGGTATACTGAGAAAGGGCTTCATAGGAATAAAAATAAAGACTTTTTAAGGCAACTTAAGCAAGTTATCACCACTTGTACTACTTACAAGTTTTTCTCCTGAACAATACTTTGATTCACTAGTCAATTTTTAATCTTGGACAACTCTTTGTTATCAGAAATACTTCAAGCATCTAAAATGCCTTCCTCACCTGCTGATATCCTCCACTTCACTCTAAGAAATGCAAATGAGTTCAAATTTAACCTGAATGCAACGCAATTTGGAATATTTCATTAAAATATATATGTATATATCACACATTTTAAAGACAAATTATTTTAAAGTATTGTTTTTATGGTAATTTTTTTGGCACCTCTGCTTATCATTGTAATACATTTAAAAAAATCTGTTTCTACACATTCGAATCTCTGTTCCACTCATTTTCTACAGTCCTACAACTTTTTATCTAGGAATCCAGGAATCTTTACAGAAACATATAGTTCCATTTAAATAAATATCTAAACTAGGAGAGAGGGCCAGAGGCAATCGCACACTTATATCACCAGCACTTTGGGAGGCTCCAGGCAGGAGGATCACTTGAGGCTGGAGTTCAAAACCAGCCTGGGCAACATAGTGAGGCTCTGTCTCTACAAGAAGATTTTTAAAAATAAGCCAGATATGATGGCACACGCCTCTAGTCCCAGCTACTCAAGAGGGTGACATGGAAGGATTGGTTGAGCCCAGGAGGTCAAGGCTACAGTAGGCTTCGATTGTGCCACTGCACTCCAGCCTGGGTGTCAGAGGGAGATTCTATCTCTAAGAAAAAAAAAAAAAGAAAAGTGAATGAACCTAAATTCTATACCACAAGCAGGCAATTAATGTGCATAAACTATTTAGGAGTGCCAAAATTTACTAGAAAGGAGAAAAAAGTACAATTAAGGTTCTTGCATAGCTTTTTATTATTCAGTTTAGAAATCTATCTTGTAAGCATGTTGTAGCATTATCCAGAGCACAGTACTTATAGTCTATGAGAGAAAAAGTTCTGTATCACACTATCAGAAACCACTACTACAAGTTTGTAATATATTACATAAAACTTCCAGCAAGCTGCAGTGTACATTAATATTTCTGCAGAAAACATGAATATTTACATCAAGTGAACATTCAGTCACATGTAGCCTCTATTCCACTCAGGTTGGAATTTACTACTAAAGGAGTTAGGCACAACAGATAAAGGACTGGAACCTGTAATAACACATTCATTTGAAATCTAGTTCTTTATATTTCATAATCTAGTTCAGAGCCAATGGAAACACTTGGTCTCTCCTTCCACAAAAACGTAACGGTGTCTTCAAAATTAAACCGCATATTTTATTTCAGAAGGTAAATGTAAAATGCCAGGCATAAGCCGGACTCGGTGGCTCAGCCTGTAACCCCGCGCCTTTGGGAGGCTGAGGTGAGTGGATTGCCTGACCCCGCGGGTTCGAGACCCGCCTGGGCAGCGAGACCTCATCTCTACAATAAATCAAAAAATCAGCCGGGCGTGGTAGCGCATGCCTGTCTTTC